GAGGTCCGATGGGAAAAAAGAAAGAATTATGGATGGATGGATGGATGGATGGATGGATGGATGGATGGATGGATGAAGTAGGTTCTACTTTAAACTTTTACCTCTGCCCATGTCCAGGATGAAAGTTCTGTCCATCCCAGCAGGCACTGTGGCGTTGACGTCATAGTTGACGGTGGTCTGTATACGAGCTCTGTGACTGGTGTCGTTGTTGCCATTGAAGAGGCCATTCATAAAGATGATGTGACCTTTGAGGGTCGTGGCAATGTGGCCGTTACCCACTTCTGTCATGTAGTTCATGTTCTTGGGCAGACTAGACATACACAAAGAATAGACGCACGTTGATACAATAGAAGCCATTCTAACGCATGGAAAAGCAAAACAAACTGACCTTTAAAAATAATATTTTAAAAAGAGGGAAAGGATCATCAGGACCTATCAGTTGAGTTCTCCAACTAAAGAACACACAACAAACTGCTTTTAAAAAAAAAAAAATAATGCATCCTAAGGGAATATAAAGAACGGATGGCGACCGATTGATCAGTCAATAAGAAATAAATAAGAATAATGACAGCGGGGAAAATACTGACACAAGCGTTGTCTCCTACTCCAATAACCATGCTTGCTCCAGTTCGGATATCATGCAAAGGTTTGGACACCTAACTAGATGATAGATCTTAGAATGAGCAAAACACGGCAAAATTTGTGTCCAGGTAGGTGATTCAAGCTATTCGTCAACATTACTGCGTCCTTAAAATTCACTTATGTGTATCTGACCTAAACAGCGTACAACAATGTTTTATGAGCTGTTACTATGATTCAAAGCGGTTTGGGGGGGGGGGTGACTGTTGAAAAGTGAATGTTCGGTCTTCTCAAAGCAAAAATGTTTAACTCACCGCTTTGACTTGATGACGGTAGCATCCTCTGGAACTGAGACTCTGGGCAGATCTGATATGCCTGGTCGTGAGATTATACCACTGGGAGCCTGGGACTTAAAAGGGTTGATATCATAATATTTATTTTAACGCTTTGTCATATTTCTATTCCAGTGATTTTACTTTAGAGGTTGACCTGCATGTTAACGTATGCCACCCTATAAAGTACCAGTATAGAATATTATAATCGTATTCCCAAAAAGGGGGAAGGGAGGGCATTAACCATGTTTTTATGCACAGTAGAATCGTAATTGTAAATGGTCTGATTCTTCAATGTCATGCTCATAACTGTGCTTGAACTGCAACAGGGAACTGCATCGCGCTGCTTTTTCTTTCCTAATCCTTACTATCGTCATTTTTTTTCTCTACTTCTTTTGTATGTTTGTCACACTCTTGTGACCCTCTATTTCCGGGGTGCCTGGATAGTCGAAGCAGACTTTGTGCTGTTGAAGCTAGAGAGGCGAGCAGATGTTTCGAGTAACGACTTCTTTTTGCTGACATCCACCCCTTGGCGTTCATATGACCTTATGTAGTTGCGAGCTCCGAAAAACTTCTTGGCTACTTAAATAAAAAATAATATTGTAATCTTGACTTACAAACTCACGGAGTCCTCCCCGGAAAAAAAGATAGAAAAGGGGG